GGCACCCGCAGTTCCTCAGCCTCTGTGATGAGACTCAAGGTGACGCTTACTGAAGCCGCGCCATCGTCGAGATGTGGGTTTCTCGGGCGGCTCGCGCGGCACGTCGTGAACTCGACTACGGATGCTACACGCTGTCAGACGGCGAGCAACGATCGACCACTTTCAGCTTTCGCCCGGAGAACATCATCGCTCGTCGAGCTGTGCAGATGGAGGTCGCCGCCAAGGTCTAAAGCTCTGAACTTCTCCCCGACGAGGAGCTGAGTCAATCCGCGAGCGATAATCTCTCTCTCCAGGTATTGTTGTCTTTGTGGGAGGACGGGTTGGAGGGGGAAGGAGAGGAGGAGGGGCGGGAGAGAGAGAGAGAGGAGGATGAGTATCCTGCGAGCGATCATTCTCTTTTCTGCCGGTAGGGTTCGGGGAGAGAGGGGGAGCGCGAGAGAGAGAGAGAGAGAGAGAGAGGGAAAGAGAGAAGGGGAGGGAGGGGGAAGAGAGGAGGAGAAAGGAGAGAGGCGGTGAGGGGAGGAAATGTGGCGAGAGCGGTGAGGGAGAGGGAAATGTTGGAGAGAGAGGCAAAGTAATGGAGAGAGCGGGGGTGAGAGAGAGGAAGGAAGATGGACGAGAAACGAGGAATGAAGAAGTAAATGAGGGGAACAGATGGGGGGAGAATAGAGAGGGGAGAGGGAGAGGGAGAAATGAACTCCACACATCCTTCGATCGAGTAGACGTATATATAATATAGACGCGCGACCCTGTGACAGTAAACATCCTGCAAACCCCTCCGAGCACATCCGTACACGTGAGCAAGCTGCCGTCGTTCGTTAAGCTGTGCAAGAAGAAGCAGGAAGCACAGAGCCAGTGTGGCTTCATAGCGCCCCGCCTGCTCCTGACAGTAAACATGTGCGGAACCATCAATGTTTTCCTAGATCGAGAAGTCCACGAATTTCGATCTTGCATCGCGTCTCGCAGCTTTCCCCCGCTGTACATCACACCATCTATCACATGTTAAGCATACTATTCCGCTTTGTGTACGGCAGCCATTAAGTATTCTGCATTGTTAACCTACTACGTGGCTGACGCTATAGAAACGTCTTTCGTACTACTAGACCGGCTTTGACTATTTCATCCTTACCTATTACTTGTTATGTAGCCTACGTTTCTTTATTACTGGCTTTTTTATTAATGCGTAGATAGTCTTTCGTTCCTAGTCGAACGGAGCGAACCTAAATCTTGGTTCAACTTGGCCTCTCATTTCAAATAATGCTCTCTCCCCTCCTCCTCCACATTCCAGCCACATCCAATCCACCATTCAGCTAATCACGCCACTTGCATGGGAGACGAGGCATGCGGTGTCTGGTGCTAAAGCGGAGAGGCTTCGCGAATATTTAAATAATTCGTGTGTTACATAATAACATTGGGTGTCGGACCAACTATGGAAATGAAGAATCGTAAATCAAAAGATCGTGAAGGCGAACGGCCGCACAAATGTGCAAAACAAATATCCGCCTCCTCCGCCATCTCTTCTCTTTCGCTATCTGCTCTATCTCTGTCTTTGTTTCTTCTCCACCTCTCTCCTTTCTCGCTATCTCTTCCTCGTCTATAAGACTATAAGCTCGTTCGCTCTCGCACAGCAGGCATATAAACGACACGACGCACACTCTAGCGCGGGGTGTTGCTATCCCCCGCCGTGGAGGGAGCGGTCACGTGCATCCAGTTACGTATACTTCCAAATTCTTACTATGCGGTAACCGTAACTCCAACACGCTCCAACGCTAATCTACAATAAATATATATATATCGAGCGCTTTATTAGGCGGGTGTGATCCCACAAATTAATCTATGGTAGAGGACAGAATATCATGATGCGAATACCAATATTAATCGCTAATTACTAGTGCGCACTGCGTGTGTCCCTCAGCCCCGGGGATAGCATTACCCCTAGGCCGTGTTGTTACCGATTGTGGCGCCCTCTATCGCTGCAGATCGGGCCCCGGTCTCCGGCATCCGACAAGGTGACGGCCTTCGCAGAGCTGCTCATCGACGCGCTCAGCTCGTTTCATGCCCCACAATCGTCAAACGCGCAGACCGCAGTCGTGGCGTGGGCCTATATGGCTGATCTCCGACCTACAGCAGTCTGTCTCATAACAGTAAACGGAGATCCTGGATCCTCGCAATACGGTGTCGGCGAGGATGCCTGCGCCGCAGCGCCGCCGACGCAGCCGTGCGCGGCGGGCGCCACGCTGGCGCACCGCATCCGCTCGCGGAAGAGGGAGCGCAGTGCGTCGTGAAGCACCGACGCATGTCCGTGGAAGCCGATCGAGCGCGGCGGCGGACGTGGGCGCCCCTCGTCTACGGCGGGCGACGACAGCCGAATGCGGCCGGCGGACGGCGGCGGATGGAGTCCGCCCTCTGGGCCGACGGGAAATGGTCGGCCAGTTGAGGAACGGGGTTAAACGGCTAGCGAGACCGCCGCGAGGTGAGATCCGTTAGTGTTTGTTTGCGCGAACCCACAGAACACTACACGTAACTAGGCAGTCGCGTAATCGTAGTCTTGTCTAGTACAGAAGAGGAGGAAGTGATGGTGACGGGGGTCGAGATGTGGAGTAGGGTGAGAGTGGCTGGGGGGGGGGTGATGTGGAATAGGGTGAGAGTTGGTGGGGGGGGGTGAGTGAACATTAGGGTGGAGAGGTGGTGGGGGTTGTTTTTCCACGCCCGCCCCTCACTTTAGATCGTTCCGTATAAATCTAAATACTGTTGTGTTCGTCGTTCGTTAATTGTACATATTATACAAGTATCGTGAAATTCGTGGAGTCGGGACATCTAGCCAACCCAAGGAGACGGGAAAGTCCTGGCGTTTTCCGCAGGAGACGGAAAATCCTAGGCGGTTCGAGAAGAGACAGGAAACTCTTAGAAATTCCTGGTATATCGTGAGTCGTTTTTATCGATCCGCATTGTGTTCACAGATCCGGTTGGAGCTTCGACTCCCACTAGCGTTACGCTACGCTTACTCTGCGCCTAACCGTAGTACAGTCATCACTTAATCGAATCACGCTGCTGGTTCCTCGCCGATATGTGAGTCACTAATCGAACCGCTCGCCGATGATGTGATCACTAAATCGAACACCTCGCCGATTGTGATCGTGGACGTCAACAGAACATGCATCTACTGAAAACTTTATACGCCGTTCGTTCGTATAGTGGTCTCAGGGTGATCGACAAAATTTCTACATGGCACAAGTTCGAAATCCGTGAAATGCCGCGCAATCTTAGCTACGTTGCGGAAATTCGGTGTTGAATTCCTTGGGCAATGACCGTCCAGCAGGAAAATCTGCGTCGTCCATCTTTGGAATCTCTCGTCATCTTTCATCTATCTTTCTGGTAACGCAAACTTGGCCACAGCCCTCTCTCGCGATCAGGTACAGCGGCACTGCTTCTCTCGCGGAGGACGTTGATTTTTAGATTTACTGCTCTCTCGCGAGATCGTCGTCGCACTACCGGTTCGTAATCGATAATCTATATTTCTTTATCGAAGTTGTGACTCCCCGACCGACGTTGGTTTGCGATCTGTCACCGCAGACTGGGGGCGGCACGTACAGCCTGTGCTCTTATACTATATATCACATACATATATATCTATTATTCCTCCGGTCGCGATGTGACTAACATTGTTTATCTGAATGACTTCAATGACTGCTAGATCACTGGCGGTATTTGACTACCTCTCAAACCTGCTCAGACTGTGCGTTTACTATTATTTTTTTTTCACATCCAGAACGTGACCTTCCGTCCCTTAATAACTAGGGACACGAATTCTGTTTGATATATACGCCACAGAGTAGTCGATCGTGCGTCCGGTGTGTGATGTCCGCTATCCGCTACCGCCGTTGTGCAATCAGCGGTCCAAGAATCTAGTTTACCTCATTTACCACGTACCACTAGTTGAATGTGTGATTCTAGCTGTCGTGCGCAATCGCGTAGTTTTGGATAGGTATTTCTACAATTCTAGACGGTCGTTCGTTCGTCTTGTTTATTGTTTATGAATATAATAACAAACCCAAAAAAAAAAAAAAAACAAGACAACCGGCTTACGCTCTCCATATATACGTAGCCCGCCGCCAAGAGCATAGTAGTCGAACAAGCTAAAGCTCGATCGCCCCAGAGTGTAGGCCATATAATAGGCGTTTACAATACAGCTGCGTACGCGCGGGTTACGCGCACAACGAGGCAACCGTGGTGGAAAGTCACGCGTTGTAGATGCGGAGGGGCGGGCTCGTTACGTCATCACGCCGGCAAGCACTTCACGCGCGAACTTGTACGGAGATTTCGTCTCGTCTTTGAGACTTCGGTTCTCGATATGAGGGAATGAGGGAGGGGGGAGGGAGGGGAGGGAATAGGGGAGGGGGAGGGGGGTTGTTATACGCCGCGTGGACCTCACGATCGCTGTAATTCAATGGCGGCGCATCCACGACGGCGCTGTGACGTACGGCAGCAGCAGCAACTGACTACGTCAATCATACGTGACATGCGCGCGACAATGGTATGACACTCTCTTCGCTCTCCCCCTTCTCCGCTCCTACTCCCCTTTTCACTGTCTTCCTTAGCGCCTTTTTCTCACTTCCCCCCGGCTCCCTTTCGTCCCTCTTTCTTGTCCTGCCCGCCTCAAACACCCCTCTTCCCTTCCTCCCTTCTCGGTCTCCGCTCTCACTCCCCTCCCGCATTCACCCTCTCCTCTCCTCCTCCTCTTCCGTCTCCTCCCTCTCCTCCCTCCTCGCTTCTTCCTCGGCTCCTCCTGAACCATAGCTGAACCCTGCCACGGTGCCCTGCGGCCGCAGCATCGATCCACGTGATCGCATCAATCGCACCGCGCAACCGCCACCGCACCGCCACGGCGCACCCGCGCACGCGCACGGACTATGAAAAACACACCGCTGCGTGAACGAGGTAACAGCATCAAGGTCATGCAGCCATTATAGGTAGCTATAGGCAGCAGCGCTGCCCGTCTCCGCCAACTATTTCCGAAAGCACGCTTTGACTTGATAATCCGCGTTACACGCCGCGCCCACACGTGCGCTATAAATATCGCGTGAAGGAGGAGGGAGGGGGAGATGCGCGGAGATTGTCTGAAAGAGTTATAACTTAGTATGTAGAATGACCGTCATCACCACCCGATCTGCCGCAATCCCCGCGTCGCCGCTAGACATACCAGTGGCGCCGGAAGCGTGGGCCGGCCAGCCGCCCAAACAAATCCGGGACGCACGGCGCGAGTCGAGTTTAGGGAAGTTCCCGTTCCAGGGAAGAGTTGCCTGGAGTCCCATGTAGCGCGAACACTTCACAGCGTACAGCATGCGCGCTCGCGTACGCACACGCTTGCATGCGCTCACACCACCTCACTCGTTCACACGCGCAGCGTATATGTATATATATATATATTATCTGTATAGATTCATCTAAACTATTGTAATACGAGATGTGTCCAGTATAATATAATAATGAGAGAAGGTGATCGTGATTGTGTGTGAATGGGTGCATGTATGTTTTACGTGCGTACGTAAGCCGTGAGAATCTCTCCCTATAAGTTGTATTCCTAAATACACGACTAGTGACTAGGATGCATGGACGCATTCCTCCTGTACATAAACCGATCCTGTTTATTGACGTTTAGTGGCGCGCCGCGGCGTGTGTAATGTCGTGTGTGTGCGTGCGTGTGTGTGTGCGTGCGTGCGTGCGTGCGTGCGTGCGTGCGTGCGTGCGTGTTTGTGTGTGTGTGTTGTGTGGTGTGTGCTAACGACTCGTGCGCACTCTTGCTGCCTCGGCGATGCGGTGTGGCTCACTAGTAGCTGCCTTTTGTTTCAAGTACATTCGTGTAAACTTGCATGTGTCGTGTGTGTCTACAGGACGGCCCCTACATCAGCGCCGAGGAGGCGGTGGCGATATACACAACGACGGTGCACTGGCTGGAGAGCCGCCGCTTCTCTCCCATACCCTTCCCCCCGCTCTCCTACAAACATGACACCAAGCTGCTCATCCTCGCCCTCGAGAGACTGAAGGAAGCCTACAGGTGAGTCAGGGGAGGGGAAGAGGAGGGAGGGGAGGGGAAGAGGAGGGGAGGAGGAGGAGGAGGAGGAGGAGGAGGGTGAAGGGGAGGGGGAGTGAGAGGCGGGAGACCGAGAAGGGGAGGGGAGGGGAAGAGGAGGGTGTTTAGGCGGCAGGAAAGAAAAGGAGGAAAGGGGAGCCGGGAAGTGAGAAAAAGGGTAAGAAGACAGTAAAAGGTGGAGTAGAGGGAGAAGGGGGAGAGGAAGAAGGAGGTGGTCATACATTGTCGCGCGCATTCACTATATTGACGTAGTCAGTGACTGCTGCTGCGTCGTCACAGCGCGTCGTGATGCGCCGCCATGACATTACAGCGATGTGAGGTCCACGCGGCGTATCAACCAACCACCCCTCCCCCTCCCCCTATTCCCTCCCCTCCCCTCCCCCTCCCCTCTTCCCTCATAGAGAACGAAAGTCTCAAGACGAGACGAAATCTCGTACAAGTTCGCGCGTGAGTGCTGCCGGGGTGATGACGTAACGACCACGCCCCTCCGCATCTAACAACGCGTGCTTTCCACCACGGTTGCATCGTTGCGGCTAACCGCGCGTACGCAGCCTGTATTGTAAACGCCTATTATATGCTACACTCTGGCGATCGAGTTTAGCTTGTTCACTACTATGCTCTTGCTACTATATATAACTAACCGTTTCTATCAAAAAATGAAACAAACGAACGAACGACGTCTAGAATTGTAGAATACCTATCCAAAACTACGGCGCATGCGCACGACAGCTAGAATCCACACATTCAACTAGTGTACTGTAAATAGGTAAACTAATTCATTGGACCCTATTGCACAACGGCGTAGCGGTAGCGACAGCACACACCGGCGCACGTCGACTCTCTGTGGCGTATATATCAAACAGAATTCGTGTCCGTAGTTATTAAGGCGGAAGGTCACGTTTGTAGTGAAGAAAAATAATATTAAACACACAGTCTGAGCAGTTGAGAGGTAGTTCAAGATACCCGCCGTGATCTAGCCAGTCATGAAGTCATTCAGATAAACAATGTAGTCACCATGCGACCGAGAATATAGATATATATGTATGTATATATAGTAAAAGGCACGGCTGTTACGTGCCGCCCCATCTGTCGGTGACAGATCGAACCAACGTCGGTCGGGAGTCAAACTCATAAAGAAAATATAGATTATCGATTACGAGCCGGTAGTGGACGAGATCTCGCGAGAGAGGCAGTAAATCTAAAAAATCAACGTACCTCCCGCGAGAGAAGCAGTGCCGTGTACCTATCGCGAGAGAGGGCTGTGGCCAAGTTTGCGTTACCAGAAAGTAGATGAAAGATGACAAATTCCAAGATGGCCGACGCAGATTTTCTGCGTGACGTCATTTCCCAAGGAATTCACCGAATTTCCGCAACGTCGCTAAGATGCGCGCATTTCACGGGATTTCGAACTTGGTGCCATGTAGAATTTTGTCGATCACCTCTGAGACCATATACCGAACGAATCGGCGTATAAAAGTCTTCCAGTAGTGCATGTTCTTTGACCGTCCACGATCACATATCGGCGAGCGTGTTCGATTAGTGACTCACATATCGGCGAGCGTGTTCGATTAGTGACTCACATATCGGCGAGCGTGTTCGATTAGTGACTGACTGTACTAACGGTTAGGCCGCAGAGTAAGGTAGACGTAACGCTAGTGCGGAGTCGAAGCTCCAACCGTATCGGAACACAATGCGGATCCGATAAAAAACGACTCCACGAATATACCAGGAATTCTAAGATTTTCCGTCTCTTGTGACGCTAGGATTTTCCGTCTCCTGGGACGCCAGGATTTCCCGTCTCCTTGGTGGCTAGATTTCCCGACTCCACGAATTTCACCGATACTGTATAATATGTACAATAACGAACGACGAACACACAGGTATTTAGATTTAATACGTAACCGATCTAAACGTGAGGGGCGGGCGTGGAAAACAACCCCCACCACCTCTCCACCCTATTCCACATCACCCCCCCCCCACCACCACCTCTCCACCCTACTCCACATCTCACCCTTCACCATCACTTCCTCCTCCTTCCTGTACTGACAAGACTACGATTACTCGACTGGCCTAGTTCTTTAGTTTTCTGTGGGTCGCGGAACAAACACTAACGGATCTCACCTCGCGGCGTCTCCGCTAGCGTTTAACCCTTTCTCAACTGGCCACCATTCTCCCGTCGCCAGAGGGCGACTCATCGCCGCCGTCCGCCGGCCGCATCCGGCTGTCGTCGCCCGCGTAGACGGTGGCGCCCCCGTCCGCCGCCGCGCGCTCGTCGGCTTCCACGGACATGCGTCGGTGCTTCACGACGCACGGCGCTCCCTCTTCCGCCGAGCGGTGCCGCGTGCGCAGCGGTGGCGCCCCCGCGCAGGCTGCGTCGGCGGCGCTGCCGGCCGAGCATTCCTCGGACACCTTCATGCCGAGGATCCAGTCTCCGTACTGTATGAGCAGACTCTGTAGGTCGGAGATCGCCATCATAGCCGCCGCCACCGACTGCGGTGTGCGCGTTGCATTGTGGGGCATGACGAGCTTGAGCGCGTCGATGAGCACGCTCTGGAAGGCCGTCACCTTGTCCGGATGCCGGAGACCGGGGCGATCTGCAGCGATAGAGGGCGCCACAATCGGTTAACAACACGCGCCTAGGGGTAATGCTATCCCCCGGGCGTGGAGGGACACCGCAACGTGGCAGCACTAGTATTAGGATTAATATTAGTTATTGCATCATGATATCTGTCCTCATACCATAGATTAATTTTTGTGGATCACACCCCCTATATAAAGCGCTCCGATATATATATATTTAGTGTTAGGATTAGCGTTGGAGGTGTTGGAGTTACGGTTACCGCATGAGTAATAATTTTGAAGTATACGTCAACTGTATCACGTGACCGTCCCTCCACGCCCGGGGGATAGCAACACCCCGCGCCTAGAGTGTGCGTGTGTGTTTATTATGTGTGTGCGAGAGCGAACGAGTTATAGTCTTATAGACGAGGAGAGAGATAGCGAGAAAGAGAGAGGTGGAGAGACAAAGACAGAGATAGAGCCAGATAGGAAAGAGAAAGAGAGTGGGGAGGGAGGGATATTTGTTTTGCACATTGTGCGGCCGTTCCGCCTTCACGATCTTTTGATTTACGATTCTTCATTTCCATAGTTGTCCGACACCAATGTTTATTATGTAACACACGAATCACTTATAAATATTCGGAGCCTCTCCGCTTTAGCACCAGACACGCATGCCTCGTCTCCCATGCAATGGCGTGATTAGCTGATGGTGGATTGGATGTGGTGGAATGTGGAGGAGGAGGGGAGGGAGGCATTATTGAAAATGGGGCCAAGTTGAACCAAGATTTAGGTTCGCTCCGTTCGACTAGTGACGAAAGACTTCTACTGCATTAATAAAAAAAGCAGTAATAAAGAAGAACGTAGGCTACATAAAGTAATAGGTAGGCTGAAATAAGTCAAAGCGGTCTATAGCGAAAGACGTTCTATAGCGTCAGCCACGTAGTATGTTAAAATGAGATAATTATGGCTGGTACACAAAGCGGAATATATGTAACATGTTATAGATGGTGTGATGTACAGCGGGGAAAGCTGCGGGACCGCGGATGCAGATCGAAATTGTGAGACTCATCTAGGAAAACATTGATGGTTCCGCCATGTTTACTGTCAGGAGCAGCGGGGCGCTATGAAGCCACACTGGTCTGTGCTTCCTGCTTCCTTCTTGCCAGCTTAACGAACGACGGCAGCTGCACGTTTACGGATGTGCTCGGCAGGTGTGTTTGCAGGATGTTTACTGTCACAGGGTCCGCGTCTATATATATATACGTCTACTCATGAAGATGAGTTCATTTCTCCCTCTCCCTCTCCCTCTCTATTCTCCCCCATCTGTTCCCTCATTACTTTCTGTCATTCTCTTTCTCGTCCATCTTTCCTCTTCCCTCTCTCTCACCCCCTCTCTCTCCTTCACTCTTGCCCTCTCTCTCCACATTTCCCTCTCCCTCACCGCTCTCTCCACATTTCCCTCTCCCTCACCGCTCTCTCCTTTCTCCTCCTCTCTTCCCCCTCCCTCCCTTCTCTCTTTCCCTCTCTCTCTCTCTCTCTCTCTCGCCCTCCCCCTCTCTCCCCCAACCCTACCTGCAGAAAAGAGAATGATCGCTCGCAGGATACTCATCCCTCCTCTCTCTCTCTCTCCCGCCCCTCCTCCTCTCCTCCCCCTCCAACCCGTCCTCCCACAAACCAACAATACCTGGAGAGAAGAGAATTATCGCTCGCAGGATGCTCAGCTCCTCGTCGGAGAAGTTCAGAGCTTTGACCTTGGCGGCGACCTCCATCTGACAGTCGACGAGGTTGATGTTCTCCGGGAAGCTGAAGTGGTCGATCGTCGTGCCGTCTGACAGCGTGTAGCATCCGTAGTCGAAGTTCAGCGTGCGCGCGACGCCGAGAAACCACATCTCGACGATGGCGGGCTTCAGTAAGGTCACTTGGTCTTCATCACAGAGGCTGAGGAACTGCGGGATGCCCTTGGCGAACTGCATGACGCGGTTGATGCCAGGCTTGACGAGCCGCTGCGCTATGTGGTCGGCCATGCTGCCCGTGAGCTGCTTCGCGTCGCCATGGTCACCGATGATGCGGCGGTAGCTGCGCGCCTCCTGGTGGTGGGAAGGGAGAGGGGATGTTAGGTAGGGTGGGGAGGTAGGGTGTGGAGGAAGGGGGTTAGAATAGAGTGGCCGTTACATCCACTATCAGTGTCCTAGTTACTGGGGAAACATTTACGACACATTGACTGCAACCTAAGAGACTTTTACATACACTTAAGAGGGGATTGCTGCTGGGGACGGTTGTGGCGCACTCTGGTGGCGGCGATACGTACCAGATACTCCCTCTGCTTGCACAGTAGGTCGGGCAGGCGTTCGTCCGAATACTCGTTTGTCTCTTTATGCAGGATGAGCAGTTTTCGAGCCAGCTCGATGACGTCACTGCCCGCGATGACGTCATCGCGCGCAGTGTGGTTCGTGACGTCACCGCGATCGTGATTCGTGACGTCACCGCGCTTCGTGACGTCGGCGCGGTCGACGACGACGACGTCGGCGCTCGTCAGGTCGATAGCGTCGTAGTCATTCTGGTAACCGTTGGTTAAGTGCCGCTGCATGGTGACATCACCCTCGACGGCCTGAACCTGTTGTGCGATCTCCATGTTTTTGATCTTGAGCTCCTTCGTGTACCGGCCGATTTTTATCGCTGCAAGATGGCGCAATCGTCGATGGTGAGTCATCAATTAGGAACGCGTAACTGATAAATCCGACATGGAGGACAAATCGGACAAGGTCAGAGTCTAAACGGCCACTGCTAACGACCAAGTAACCCAGAACTAACATACGATACGATACGACACTATACGGTGCGCAGCGCTACGATAGGATGCGCTAAAACGCTACGGTGTATCGTGACGCAACGCAATACAACGACATAATGACCAACAATGCTGTACGATACAATACAACGCTGTATGATACAATAGAACGCTGAACAATACAATAGAACGCTGAACAATACAATACAACGCTGCACAATACAATACAACGCAGCACGATGCAAGTAGAGTCGAGTACAACAACAATATGCGCGTACCTCCTTTGGACATGCCGACTTGAAGACATTTCTTGTAGCGGCAGAACTGACATTTGTTTCGGCTGGCACCCTGTACCATGCACTTGCCGTCTCCGAAGATGCATTGGAAGTCAGGCGTCGATTTTTGCGTGCACCGCCGAAAGAAACCCTGAAGAGCAAAAAAGGCCCCGAAAGTAGAACGGGGTAGAGGAGGGGGGGGGGCAAGCGTGAATTTGGTCCGAGGCTATATAACTATAAATACTTTATCATCGTCGGGCTGTTTTTTATTACGTGATATTTTTGCGGCGGTAAGAACTGTGACGTGTAACTTTTTGCTATTTTTTATGTCAGCGGGTGGAAACTGGCGCAGGAGTGATTGCGATTCCCAGAGCATCGTAGCACGAGACTGGCTGCGCCTCCTAGTACAGCATCCTCAATATCAGCTACCTGCGAATCGACATCGTGTGCGTGTGTGTGCGTGCGCGCGTGCGCGTGCGTGTGTGTGTGTGCGTGAGAGTGGGCGTGCGTGCGTGCGCGCGTGTGTGTTCGCGCGCGCGCGTGTGTGTTGGTTTGTGTGCGTGCGTGCGTGCGCGTGTGTGCGCGCGGGTGTGGGCGTACGTGTTCGTTCTGGAGTTTGTTCGTAAAGCCTCAATAAATTGGTAATAATCGATGCGATTCACTTCACGGAAATATCAAATGCTTCGTCTAGAATGATGTCTAATACGTGTTCTTATAGGAGAGGGAAGAGTGAGAATGTGTGTGTGTGTGTGTGTGAGAGAGAGAGAGAGAGAACTGAGGGAGTGAGGTTGAGAGGAAAAAGACACAGAGAGAAATATTGGCGATGGAGAGGGAGAGAGAGGAAGAGGAAGAGGAGCTAAACAGGGAGCGAGCGAGAGAGAGAGGAGAAAGAGAAAGAAAGAGAAAACGAGAGAGACTGACAAACAGAGGGAGAGAGAGAGAGAGCGCGCGAGAAAAAGAGAGGGGGAGAGAGCGCGGAGAGGAGAGAGTGAGAGAAAAAGATACATAGAGAGAGAGAAGAGAGAAGAGAGAAGGAGGGAGGGAACGAGAGCCAGAGACAGGAAATCCGATGTCAACCCGGGAGGTAGACCCCACACGGGAAGTCGAACGACCGCTAGAGATGACCTCGTGGCCATCGCGACCACGCATGCGCGCGCGAAAGAAGTTAGCGGGGCGTGGCACGTGTGACGTCGCTCACCTTGCAGCCCTCGCACGTGTTGACGCCGTAGTGCATGCCTGATGACTTCTCCGTACAGACGCTGCATGGAGGCAGCACGTTGTACGCAGACGTAATGTACGTCTCGCCCTTCTTCTTTGGTTTCGACGAGTTCTCGAAGGGAGGCGACTGCGACGGAGGGCTGTAGTCGCTGCGCGGCGAATGAGACGGCGGGTTGTACTCCATGCTGACCATATTATTCTGAAACAAGAGAGCATCACGAGGATGAGTGACGCGCATATACGCCGCCATACTTGCGTTGTCTCGACGAAAATAGAAAGACAAATCATTTCGAAACATCTACATCATTTTATTACGCTTTTTTATCATCTATATATATCACAATCAATAAACATTGTAATTAATAAATAGCATCAACTGTAATTATCACGAGTAAATAATAATAGTGAATAATCTATTATTATTCACTCCTGTAATTATCACCTGCTATTTATAGCAGGTTATATTAAACAACTATTCGCATTGTTTGAAAAGAATGGCGAAGTATTTGAAGAAATTTTTCGGAAACTACATTTGGGAATTACACAAGCATATTTCGCCACGTTGTGTGTGTGTGTGTGTGTGTGTGTGTGTGTGTGTGTGTGTGTGTGTGTGTGTGTGTGTGTGTGTGTGTGCGTGTCGATTTCAGCAAAGTGTTTGCGGCTCAGCACAATGCCCATGGACTGACCGTCCTTGCTATTCGTACATAAGGTCAGTCGAGCGCGTGTGACCAAGCGCTAAAACATGTCGATGCAGATCTCTTTATACTTTAGATGTAGATCTTCGTCTGTCGACCTTTCTTGTTTGTTGTCCGGAAATATTTAGTGCGTGGGCCTATACGTGCGGTTTTTGAACAATCTTGTCACAGCGATATGAACTATGCAAACGCCCTAACCCCGTTTCACTTCATGTTACATAATTTATATACGTTACACACAAACCGCGGGTCAGTTGTAATATAGGCGACACGCGTGTACTAGTGGGCCATGGAGAGAAACTCTCGAGTAAACTCGGCCGATGTTCTAGCTTTCTCGACCCCTACCACATATATATATATATATGTGTGTGCATGTGTATGTGTGTGTGTGTGCGTGCGTGCGTGCGTGCGTGCGTGCGTGCGTGTGTGTGTGTGTAGGTGTGTGTGTATGGGAGGGGGTGCGCGTGTGTATGAGCGTATGTGTGTGTAGGAGTGGGGGGAGGTGTGTGTGTGTGGTGAGTGCTGTTGTCCGGTTCGCTAAGGGTGAGCATCAATGCTAAATACATGGCGCGTGGATCGAGGCCGGGTGACCTGGCCATGACTTACTCACTGATCGCGATGTCCCAGATTTGCCTGTTCCAGAATCGCTGCGATCCTAGTGTTTGTGTCAAATCTATCCCCATGTTTGTGTCAACCCTGCCTGTCCTAGTGTTTGTGTCAAATCTATCCCCATGTTTGTGTCAACCCTACCCCCACATTCGTGTCAACCTAATCCCATCACGTACGTCCGATCTCGATCCCGGAAACGACAAACCCCTGCGCCGCCGTCTTTGTCGTCTGCTAACCCGTGTTTGCGTTACCGTGGCGACAGGTTCACGGCGGAGGAGGCTCGTGACCTCATTCAGCGCTACCTGACGGAACATCCCGACCCGAACAACGAGAACATCGTCGGCTACAACAATAAGAAGTGCTGGCCGCGCGACGCGCGCATGCGCCTCATGAAGCACGACGTCAACCTGTGAGTGCCGGCGGGGGCAGCGGGAACCGGGAGAGGGGAGCGGGGTCCGGCGGGGGGCGGTGGGAACTTTGTAAAAAGGGAAATGGGCTCTGGCAGAGCTGGTGGTAACTGCGCGAGAGGGGAGCGGGCCCGGCTGGGTGTGATGGAACCGCAACTGTGTGGAGAGAGAAAAGCGCATGGACATATATTCGCCGTTGATCATACATCGATCTTACTGGAGTTTCATGACTCCGGGAGTGAAAAAAACGTGAACGCTCGGGGGGGACCGCAGCCGACCAACTGACTCGCACATTCGCTTGTTTCAGCGGCCGCGCGGTATTCTGGGACATCAAGAACCGTCTGCCGCGCTCGGTGACGACGATCGAGTGGGACCACAGTTTCGTGTCCGTGTACAGCAAGGACAACCCCAACCTGCTGTTCAACATGTGCGGCTTCGAGTGTCGCATCCTGCCCAAGTGCCGCACCACGTTCGAGGAGTTCACGCACAGGTAGGGGGCGCTGGCAGCAACGGTGAGAAACTCGGAATGTCGTCGAGCGTCGAGGGCGCGATTCCGAGTCTAGTTCCCGTTTATTGTTGTTGTTGTTTGTTTGTTTTTTCGAAGGAACTAAACGAAATTTAGTAAACTTGACCAAGGTTGCTTAAGCTTGACTGAACTGTACTGAGCTGAACTGACCTAACCCTAACCCTAACCCTAACTAGTCTTAGTAGTAACTTTATGAAACTTAGTTAAACCTAATTAAAGCTTAACGTGACATTAAATATCACTGTAGCTGACCCAGCTTAACTTCAACCCGGCTTAACATGACTGAACTCTTTACTGAGTAACGAGTTTACGTGGCGAACATCACACGGTCCACGCATTCGTGAGTTCATATGGTTCGTTCACGTCGCAGGGACGGCGTCTGGAACCTTCAGAACGAGGTGACGAAGGAACGAACGGCGCAGTGTTTCCTGCGCGTCGACGAGGAATCGATGTCGAAGTTCCACAACCGCGTTCGACAGATCCTCATGGCTTCCGGCTCCACGACGTTCACGAAGGTACGAACACCCCCCCCGTGTTGTTCCCGAACGGCGCACTCGATCTCGGTTGTTCTTCCCCGGAAATCGGGGATCTGCCAATTGGCGTCCGTCCGTTTAGCGATTGGACGGTAGCGCCGCCCAGTCATCGTCGCGATGAGGCGGTTTTAAAAACACTGCTTAACGATAAAGTGCGGAAAAATTCGGACGACGTTAAAAGTCCGGAACGATCGCGTGATCGAATGACGCTCGCGTCCTATTAACCGTTCCGTTGTTCGTTCCGCACAGTAAAAAAAAATACACGAGGGCTCGGGGCGATTTAGCCCCCGAAATGCCAAAAAGAGCCCCGGAAATGCCAAAAAGAGCCCCCGTGAATTTGCATAGAGTTCAATGCAAAGTTGCAAACCAAATTTTAGAGTGCTATTTTCATGCACGCGAGCTTGAAAAGTAGCCCCCGAAAAATAAATTCTATTTTTTTACCTGGTTCCGCAGATCGTGAACAAGTGGAACACGGCGTTGATCGGGCTGATGACGTACTACCGGGAGGCGGTCGTGAACACGCAGGAGCTGCTAGACCTGCTCGTCAAGTGCGAAAACAAGATACAGACGCGCATCAAGATCGGACTCAACTCGAAGATGCCCAGC